CGCAGCGCCCACCATCCAGACCAAGGACATATAGAGAGACTTGCGGATCAGGTGGCTTACACCGAAAAAAAAATCATCAAGAGAACATCACATGAAACTAACGGATGGCTTACACCGGATGCCGTACTAACGGATGGCTTCTTGCCTTTTGGCTGCCGCAAGGTGAGAGGGACATCCATCCACCCAGCTCCATCCGAGGCACACAAGCTGGAAGGACAGGTCGTGCGTGCTCGGCAAGAGGAAGCTCAGGATCAGGAGAAGGATGATGACCTCGAAGAACGTTTTTTTTTTTTTTGGTGTTGGGGGGGGTTATACAGTACAAGTTGAAGCAGCTTTGCATGTATCATGGCTGGCTGGTACGCATAGGATATTGACAAGTACTCTTGGAAGAGACTCAAACTTGAAACATTCTATCCTATCAACATCATTCAATGTCTATCAAAGTAAGATCGCTGAAGGGAGAATGGGAGACTCAAGTGCGACCATTTTTTACATATAGTAGAATATATCCCTCAAATCAAGTTAGTAACATCTTGCAGGAGTAGTGAAAACCGCCGCTATAACCAGCAGCCTTTGGGGTTCCACATCCATATCTTTGCGGGTGGATGTAGTGCAGATGGGAAACTAAATGGCATTCGATAGCAGAAGTCTCATGAAGTCTCTATGGCTGGCACCTAAAAATCAATACTGGAAGAGTGCCCAAACAATGGCGTTATGATGTGCGAAAAAAAGGATAAAAAAGGCAGGTTCCAAAACCATCTGAAAACGCCCGGGACCATCCGATGGGAAGTCCCTTCATCCCTTCATAACCCTTCATCCATCCATGCAGGTGTTGCTGGACGTGCACTGCGGACGCCGTGGATCGGCATCTCTTGAGCTTCCCCGCCATCAGCGCGACTTTGACGCCCACGTCCTGACACCAGTCAGTCGGCCCGGAAGGTAAGAGCGACATGGCGATGAGACGTTCCAAGGAGGAAGGGGCAGGAAAACGGTGTTGGAACATCTTTCTTTCCCAAATGAGTTGTTGGTGGTTATTGTCCCAAGGCATCCTTTAGCCACTTTAGCCTGAGGCATCATTGCTCCTGAACAATCTTTCCGTGACTGCCATCGAAATGGGTTCTTTATGCATCGCGACATCAACCGGTCACCCGCAGTCTACTACAACATCCGGACGAGAAGATTCCTATGATCCCTGGATGGTGCAGGAAGAAAGAAACTATAGTAACTACTCGCATTGGCTACATCATGTTGAAACGGAGCTATACCTGTGATGAATACCAAAACTGAACCCGCTGAAAAGGCACACAGCTCCCTAACACAAAACTAAAAATGAGTTTTGCTTGATTCCACTACGGACATGCGAATGCGTGCTCAACACCTTTAACAGAATTGATCCCAAAGGTTTTGGCCCAGCCACTCTGCACGGTTCCATCCCGTGCGTCAATTCCCCACCCGTCCTCCACGTGCCGCCTGTCAAAAGCGTTGAACGATAGGGTTGGCCACGACAATGACCTATGAACCTGACCACTGATTAGCAAAGGTTCAATCCCAAATCGTCCAGTGCGAGGGACATGGAGGGAATAACATGGAATAACCAATTTATATATACAGGATTATACAGGTATCAAACAGCCTGACCCCGAAATCATTCATTCCCACACCTTTATTGGACAGCCGTATGTCCATGAGACTCGTCCATGTGTTTTGAAGAGTCAGGTCAGCTCCCCGCCGGAATCGGATCCCACGGATGGGGTGGATTCAGAGCGACACAAAGGAAAACGCATCCATATCATGTGTCCTTATCCATGTCCGGTCATCCCAAAACCCATTCCTAATCCATCCCCAGATATGGTGGTTATCATCGAGTATCCTTATCACTTGTGATTCATAAAAAAAAAAATTGCATCACTCATTGCATCAATGGATCACCCAAACCCTAATCCCCTATGGTGGTTATCCTTCTCATGTGTGATCCATTATCATTTCATCCTTAGTTCATCCTAGTTCATCCATCTTCCGTCCGGTGTTCCCGCCTGCCGATGTTCTTCATCGTGGTGCCTTTGCCCAGTTGCGAGCGGCAAGCATCGAAGAGCCTCGCGTCGGACCCGGCGCTGCTCTGCTCCGGTGAGCTGTCTCCGGTCCGGTCGGCAGGAACGAGAGGCAACTCGTAACAATAAGGGCATTACCACTAGGAACAAGGAGCTACTATAGTAGCAAAGAGCATTACTCAGTATAGTAGCTAGAAGCTACTGTAACAAATTCCTCCTGAAACTGGCTGAAGTAGGAAATCTCTTAGAGAGATCGTGGCCAAACAGTGAAACATCCAAGAATGTCCCATCCATAAACTTGACGGTCACTCATTGCAACTCTGTGCGTTGACACTTGTGACCAAAATCGATGTATTGTACCTCATCTCCTCTGCCAACTTCTCAATTTGCTAGGTTCACTCGACCCTCCCTCCAACCCCCTCCTTGCCGGTTTCTAGCCCGGGATGGCACCACCGAGAGGTGTAAAAATTGTGGTAAAGGCGCAAACCAAAATGGTTACGAATCGATCTCCTCAGCTTCCCCGCTTGGTCTTCACCATCTCCTCGGACAAGACCCGTTCCTGGCCGACAGACTTCGTGACACATGTGACGCAGTTGGTTTCGGTAGATCTGTGAGGCTTGAGATGGCTTAAGGGTAAAAAAAGCTACATGTCCATCCTGTAATGAGATGTAATGAGTGTTTGTTGCTTTGGAATTTGTTCTATGACATTGGAAACAAGATGGAACAATACAACTCATGCAAGAACCTGAAAATGTCTGAAAACTTGAATTCTGTGCCGCTCCGGAGCCACTGCAGGTCAAAGGTCATGTCTTCGTGGACTTTCAGGGCGCAAATTCTCTGAAAAAGGGATCATGGATGATACGCCCTGGAAGAGACCCACATGGAATCTGAAAACCACTGGATTGTAGGGGAAAAACGTCTTCCAAAGAATTATTCTCAGGTTCCGTGTGGGTCTCTTTCCCAGGTGTAGATGTGCAGCAGCTGGCCCGAAATTCATTGGACACCACGCTTGGATTCGTCGAGCCCTGTCGACTCGGAGCCCGCTGGAAATCGTCCCATTCGGAGCCCAACGCACCTTGAACTCCAAGAAATGCAAAGGCTCTTCCTCCTCATCTGTCTCCATGGATGCAGATGAGGCATTTCCTCAGTGGATGCTCAAAGCGAAGAGCTTACATGGCTTGCAGACTGCGTGCCAGGATAGGGGTTCCACAGTTCATGATCCTGTCACAGTGTATTGAACAGGCTCATGTTTCACATGGTCTTCCGTCTCGACGCCGAACGCTGGCTCAAAGACTCTTGGATGGTATTTCAACCGCTCATGTGAAAAGGTTGCATCCAAATGGGGGAGGTGTTATCAATATCAGCCACTTAGAATCTAGAGTCCACAATTACCATCACCCACCCACCCACGCCATGCAGCTCCTGAAACCATGCCATGCGGCGATTGATGGACATGGTCGAACTCTGCGTGAACTTGCGCGTGAGGCTTCCTCAGTGCCAAACGCTGAGTCAACCCAAAGTATTTCCCGACGGATCCAAAGCATCACACGTTCGGCAGGATCGAGCACCAAGGAGAGTTGATTGTAAAAGCGATCTTCGGAGACCTCGGTGCCCACTGGGTTGTGGCGATCAAGGTCCTGAGACTTCTTGCTTTGGGTCCCGGCTGATTTGGGGCGCCTCAAAAGGGCCGAAGGCGCCTCTTGGGACCGTTTCGGAGGCGGCCCACAAAATGGCCAAGCCACAAGACGAGCAAAAACAACAACAACAACAACAACAACAACAACAACAACAACAACAACA